CACTAGCCTCTCTAGTCAATTGGCATGATTGAGTGAGACCTCGTACATTGTCAACGGCCACAGTAGTCTGGGTAATAACCCAAACTGGAAGCACCAGAGCTTCAGTTTCCCTGGGAGTGCAGTGTTGTTAATCCGCTTGAGGTCATCAGCCAAGTTCTGCCTTAGTTATTCTAGTTGCCACGTATCATTGAGGTCTGCATTATACCACCGTCCCAGGCTCTTTATGGGCTTCTCTAAGACTGTTGGAATTGGTTCTCCACTGATATAGAATTACTCGGCTGTCAGTTTTCCTTTTACGATGGAGATGCTGCCAGATTTACTTGGCTTAAACGCCATCCTTGCCCATTGTTTTCCAGGAGCTTCTGTAGGAATCACCTAGTACATGGTTTTGTTGTTGTAATGATGGTCATGTCATCCATGTAGGCTCTAATGGGAGGAAGACGAAGCCCACTCTTGAGTCTCTCACCTCCCACTACCCACTGAGATGCCTGCATGGCCAACTCCATTGCCATGATAAATGCCAGAGGGGAAATTGTGCAGCCTGCCATAACTCCTGCTGTGGTGGTGTTCTCAGCTGTCACACAAAACTGTAAATCTTTAAAGTAGGTCTTGACCAGTCCTGTGATGTGGTTTGGTACGCTGAAATAGTTGAAGGCCATCCACAAGATCTCTTGTGGGACTGACCCAAAGGCGTTGGCAAGGTCTAAAAAGACCACGTAAAGGTCTCTTCGTTCTTTCTTGGCAGTTTGAATCTGGTGCCAGACGACGCTGGCATGCTCCAGACATCCCGAGAAGCCCCGGATGCCGGCCTTCTGCATGGATGTGTCAACATAGTTGTTTCTTTGCAGGAAAGCAGAAAGTCTTTGGGCCAAATCACTGAAGAAGATCTTTCCCTCTACGTTCAGCAGGCTGATCTGGCAAAACTGGCTGATGGATGAGGAGTTCTTCTCCTTAGGGATCAGAATACCTCCTGCTCTTCGCCAAGCCTTTGGAATCACTCCTTTCTGCCACGCTACCTTCATCAGCTTCCACAGGTATTTGAGGACTCGTGGGGTGTTTCTATAGAGCCTATATGAGATGCCATTAGCTCCTGGGGCCGATGCTGCTCTTTCCTGCTTCACTACCTTCTCCACTTCACTCCATGTAGGTGGTCTTATGTCCATTTGGTGTTCAGGTGCCTGGATAGGTGGCATATCAGTCGGTAACTGGCTCATGCCTCTGATCATCAGAGTAAGTTTTCCTCAGATGATCTTCCAGGTCTTTTATGGGCATTTTGAGGCGCCCGCTCTGCTCTTCAACAAAAAGGCCTTTAACAAAGTTGTATGGGCTGCTGTAGAAAAGGGTCCTTGTCCGTTCTTTCTTCTTACGTTGTCGTCTGAGGTGTTCGGCTCTTTGCAGCTTAGTAAGTTGTTCCTTTATTTCCTCCTGCAGGACAGTGAGTCCCTCCCTTTCTGTCTCATAGGCCCTCCTCCACTGTTGCCTCAGTTGTCTTCTCTCTTTCACTAATCTACCACTTTCCCGCTGTCTCCTAGACTTTAACTGGTTTAAATGGCCTTTAAACCAGTAACCTCTGAGAACTGTTTCTGCTATTAAAACAGTTTGTTTTGATAACCCTGAACTCTGATTGCACCGTCAGAGAAAGCTCATTTTACTCCACACACATTTGGAAAATCACAGTTTGAACATAAAATCCAGAATAATTAGTATTTGAGATTGCTGCAGCAACAACATTAAAGAAAAATATCTTTTCATGTTGCTGTGTTTTCATTTGAAAATATAAAATGTTAAAGTTTTTTATGTAAAACATAAAAACAACAAAAACTTAAGACGTTAAAGATGTCCTGATGAAATCTGAGAATGTCTCAATTCATCGGTGTTTCCATCTGAGAGTCTACAGGACACGGGTTAACTTTGACCACACTAACGTCTAGTTTAAAGTGAGAGAAGTAAATGCATCACAGAAGCTGCTTCAGCCGACATTATTTCAAATAAAGTACAAGTGATTCGGAATAAGACCCATGAGATGGTTCACATCATCTAAGACTTTAGCAGAACCTGGAACATTAAAGTTCACTTCTGTGTGATGATCGTACTTTTATTACCTGAGCTAATGTGGATGCTGTAAAATCAGCCGGGCTGAAAGAACAAGTACACATTTGGACAAACTGTGCTGTAACTTCACATGTTGTGAAGTCATAAACTCCTTGATATGTTGACGTCATGTCAGTAATGCACACAGACGTATGTTGGAAGGGTTGAGCTTAACAGATACAGTCAGTCTGTACACACTGTGTCATAGATAATAAAGGTGTGATAATAAATAAAACCATAAATGTTAATCAAGTCATTTGATTTATTCTAAATTGGAAAATTATTTTCCAATTTATTTAATTTCCACCATTTTTGCGACTGTTTCTCTTCCAGGTGACTGTTGTTGTAAATGAAACTGGATTCAAACTTCTGCTGTGTCCTCTGATGGGCAGTGTGCAGTCACACAAAACAACTTAAATGTCCCCATAACCATGACTGGAGTTTGGAAATGTAAAGGACGTTATACTGTGACTACTACTGTAAAATCAGTGCTGTGACTGATCACAACCTGATTCCAAACAGTCTAACGTCAACATTCCTGGAAACGAGATCACAGGATGGCAACAAAACGGACTTTAAAATGAGATCCACCCTAACAAAGAGTAAGTGCACCGATGTAAGAACAAGCATCACTGCTGAGGAGTTTGTTTTACATACAGACTCGGGGCTGCTCGTCTCCTCTCGGCATTTTCTTATCTAACCGTTGGTGACTTGGAACCTCAAAGTTTAGCAACAAAACACTTTGTTTCCCTTTTCCATCAAACATTTCTTTCAGTCATATCGCGCCATCAGCCAGAGGGGCCGATGGCGCGATATGGCAGCCTCGCTTCTGTCAGTCTGCCGCAGAGCTGTTGCTACAACTGTAGCTGCCTCCACCAGTGTGTGAATGAATAGTGGAATTGTAAAGCGCTGTATATATAAATGCAATCCATGATTATATTGTTCACGGCTTCTTGTTGGATCGGTGCTTCCTGTGTCGACTTTATTCTGCAGTGACGAGTTTCAGATGCAGTGATGCTGTCTGTGTGAGGTTTAGTTGGAGAGGACGCTGCTGTGGCGTCTGCTGGTTACAGCCTCTGCAAACTAAACTGGACTCGTCTCCCTGCAGCTGAGCTCATGCTGGAGGCGTTGAGCTCACAGGCCTGAGGATGAGCAGCGCAGCTCCTCGCACACTGCCATGGCGTGCGAATGCTTCACCGCAGAGTTGCTCAAGCTCGCGGGCAGTCATCGATTATTGCGCGCAATCACACGCAAACAGACTCGATGAGCTATTTAAAGATGGTGTGATAGTGACGAGCTGCTGTGCAGAGATAAGCCGGCAGGTTCTGTGAGGGCATCGCTCGGTTTCATATTTACGCATTTCCTGTTTTTATCGTTTCCACTTTGATCTCCAGTCATCTTTCTGGAGGTGTGTGTGTGACACATTTAAACAGTGGAAATGTTTTTCTTCACATCACTCCCACTCGGTGCCTGCGTGCCATCCACTTCTCTTTTACATAGAAAACTGATCATTTCGACACGTCCTTTAAACCGCTTCCTTTGAGCCTCTGTGTGGTTTTCATGTGCCTGCATCAGTGTGACGGCACTTTGTGCTGCCATCGACTCTTCAGTCTGAAGAGTTGGTGACTGTGTAAGACTTTAGGTTTCATACTCAGTTCTTTACTTTGGAGAAGCTGCGTCAGCGATAAGCAGACATTTCTGCAGTGACGGAGCTGATGAAGAAGCGAGCGCTCAGTTCACAGGAGTGTTTGCACACATGCGTCTGCCTGCTGTGTGTCTCTGAGAGGTCATTGGCTCCCAGCCGGCTGCTACTCCAGCGGCAACCAAGTACAAATACTTTGTTACTGTAGCAGAGTTTTCAGGTTCCTGTGCTTGACTTGAGAAGTTTTTTCCTTTTATACTTTTAACTTTTATTTGCTACATGTTTAAC